ATGCATTCCATTTGTCAACCACTCTGACACTAAAAAAGTTCTTTCTAATATCTCTGTGGCTAACTTGGGCACTCAGTTCCCACCTGTGTCCCCTAGGGCGTGTGCCCCTTATGTTAAATAGCCTGGAAGAGGGAGAACAGATCACAGATCTGTTCAAAGGAACAGCTTTTCCCACCAGCAGAATGCTCGCCAAGAAAGGGACAAGAAAATGAACAGAAGAAAGTGAGCTTCAAGGCAATGTACACTAACATAGATGGGATTACAAATAAAACAAGTGATCTCGGAGAATGGGCACTAGAAGAAAACCCAGACATAATAGCACTCACAGAAACAAAGCTAAAGAAAACAATAACAAACGCAGTGTTTCCACAGGACTACTATGTAGTGAGGAAAGAGAGAGAAGGGAGAGGAGGAGGTGGTGTAGTTTTGCTGATAAGAAATGGTTGGAGTTTTGAAGAGATAATAAATCAAAACTGTGAAGTTTTCAGTGACTACATGTCAGGCATCATAGCAACTGGAGAACTGAAAATTATAGTAGTAGTCATTATATAACCCCCCACCAAACGACAGAAGACCCCAGACAGGAATATGATAGAAACAACATGGCCACAATCAATATAATAGAGAGTAGCTTCTGTTGCTAGATTGGGGGAACAGAGACTCACATTGAGGACCAGAAACATGGAAAGCTAAGCTGCTGGACGTGGCCAAGAAGAAACTTTCCAAGTCAAGGGACCGACAAGAATGAGAGGAGAGGAAGAACCAGCCTTGCTTGATCTGATATTTACCCTAAATGAGTCGGATATAAGGGAAGTTAAGATGGAAGCACCCTTGGGAATGAGTGATCACAGTGTATTGAGCTTTGAGTACCAGGTAGAGCTAGGAATTATCGCCTCCCCAAAAGAACTAGGAAACAAAAGGTTGGCATACAGAAAAGGGAACTATGAGGAGATGAGAAGTATTTTGTGCCTGTGTCCCAAGGTATTTTCCTAAGGAAAATACCTTGGGACACAGGCACAAAAATATTGTATATTGTATATATCCGGTTTCTGATATACGTAAATGATCTCCCAGATGGTATAGACTCATTCCTCTCAATATTTGCTGACGACGCCAAAATTATGAGACGGATTACAACAGAGGAGGACAGCTTGAGGCTTCAAGAAGACCTGGACAAGCTGCAGGAATGTTCGAACAAATGGTTGTTAGAGTTTAACCCAAGCAAATGTAATGTAATGAAGATAGGTGTTGGGAGCAGGAGACCAGATACAAGGTATCATTTGGGAGATGAAATGCTTCAAGAGTCAGAGAGAGAGAAAGACCTGGGGGTTGATATTACTCCAGACCTGTCACTGAAGCTCATATCAGGAAGATAACATCAGCGGCATATGCCAGGTTGGCTAACATAAGAACGGCCTTTAGAAACTTGTGTAAGGAATCTTTCAGAACATAATATAACACATATGTCAGACCAATCCTGGAGTATGCGGCTCCAGCATGGAGTCCATATGTATTCAAGCACACACACACACGACTAAAAAAATATAGCATTACATTACAGCAGATTGATGAAGAAATTGACCTTGGAGTCAATATCAACTGCTCATTAAAAGTTGCACAACAGGTGGGTGCAGCAGTCAAAAAAGCAAACCAAACTCTTGTTATAATCAAGCGTACTTTTGGCTATAAGGAAAAGAAGGTAATGGTTCAACTGCATAAATCTCTGGTGCGCCCCCATTTGGATTACTGTATCCAAGCATATAGAGACCTCATTTTCTGGAGAGGAAAGCTGCTATAGAGAAGGTGCAACACCGGGTAGCAAAAGTCATTCCAAAGGTACGAGATACGAGAAGGCCTTTCTTTAGTTTAGGACCACAGAGATAACAACACTGCAAATCAGGCATGACAGGGCGGATCTCATTGAAACTTAAAATATTAAACATGTTAGAGGATGTTTATCCGGATGTTTTCTTCAAAATCAGATGTAACACAAACAAGGAGCAACGGACTAATATTACATGGAACCGCCTACCTATGTACCCATGGAACTTCCTACCCGCTGAAGCCAAAACTGTGCTGAGTTTCAAGATATACGAGGAAAAGATCAAGGCAAATTGGGGGACCTTCGGCAAGCCGGCGGCTTGTCATGTCCTCCTTGAGGCCACTAGAGTAAAAGACCTGACCTGAATGAGGACGACATCAAGAATTAGGAACATGAAATACTATTAGGAGCCAGTAACTATTGTGTCCTTGTTGTTGATCGAACTTAAAATTGTGACCATGGGACAACAGGTCTGGGAAAGAAGAGTTGAGTTCAGAAGAATAAGGGAATATCTGGGAGACATGCAGTGGGAAAGAGAACCAGCGAAGGTAAAACAGTCCAATATATGATAGACCTAATCATATGGAAACGTAAGGCGGCTGAAGAGATTTATACTAATAATAGGGTAAAAAGGTAGGAGGGAACTGCTTATTAAACCCATGGTGTAATAAACAGTGTTGTTTATTAAACTCATTGGTTTATTAAACCCATGGTAAAATAAACAGTGTAAGAGAGCAAAACTGAGAAGCAAGAGAGAGTGGAGGAAGTACAGAGGACAACAAGAATAGATGCAACAGAGCTAGAAACGAATAAATTAACATTAGAATACATTAACATGAGTACTGCAAAGGAATTATGAGAACGATATTGCGATCAGCGTGAAAAAATCTAAATTACTTGTCAAATAAGAAATCATGCCCAACAAACCTTCTGGAATTCTATGGCAAACTAAAAGAATAGGGCAGGACAGGGAAGGATGGGCAGACTGCATATTTGCAGAAAGCCAAAAACGCCTTTGATAAAGAACTGCGCAGTAGACTGCTATCCAAACTTAATCAGCAGGTGGGAATAAGGGGAAAAACCCTAGATGGGTAAGGAATTACCTAACAGGAAAGAAACAGAGAGAAACGGTAAGGGGCGAGAAGTCAGACCGTCGGACAGTAACGAGTAGAATACCACAAGGATCAGTGCTGAGACCAGTTCTATCTATATAAATAAAAAGGTATATGTTCGTTTGTTCAAAATCGCTAATCTCCGAAAGTTCTTCACCGATTGCTTTGAAATTTTCACACAACATTCCATTCGCATCCGAGCGAGTTTTTATACATACTATATAAATGGCACGTCTGTGAAGGTAATTTTTTTTAAACTGTTTTTCATGTGAGTGAAATCTTCGAAACTTCCTTACCGATTGCTTTGAAATTTTGATACAACATTTCATTCGAATAGTCTCCGTGGTGTAGTGGTAAGACGAACCCATGACAGCCTGGCGTTCCGCGAGCGCTATGTCATGGGTTCGTATCCTGGCCGGGGAGGATTTACTGGGCGCAATTCCTTAACTTTAGCCTCTGTTTAACGCAACAGTAAAATGTGTACTTGGATGAAAAAACGATTCTTCGCGGCAGGGAATCGTATTCCATGGACCTGCCGGAAACTCTACGCGTACTAGTGGCTGTACATGAATGTAACAACTAGTGGCTGTATAAAAGAATGTAATATATCTTGTAAAAAAAAATAGGTGCATGAATTTGGTGCCTCATCTATGACAGGAAAAAACAGGCTTTCATAAAAAAAAACAGCGCCATCTGTTGGACGTAATAACAACACACTACTCTAAATATGTTACAATTCCATTTAAATGTTTCCGATTGCATTGATGAATTGGATTTTCATAGATTTTTATTTAATTATTTTGTGTGTTTTGCATTGGAATCGAGCTGTGTTGTTTACCATACCGTTCATTTTGTAAGTATAAGTATAGATGCTACTCCTGTGACATTATAACTATCTAGCCTTACGTTTTGAGGCTAGGTAATGACGATAGTTACAAGATACGAGCTTGATGGTGTTGAGATTGCAAAAAGGATCTGTGAGTTATGATTAGTAAGAATTAAAAAACAAATTATCAATGAAAGAATGTTCGCAAATTGGACGCTGGGGATTTATTAATCGAAGCGTTAGTAACAAGACACCAGGTTACACACTGAAATCACGATAGCGTGATGCATCAAATGAACAAATCCACAAGGACCGTGACAAGGGTTCAAACCTACATCTGAGAGGATCCCAGACGCAGCCTTAATCGACTGAGGTACAACCATGGGTAAATCAGGATGATATCCAGGTTGCAATTCTTTTAACCATTTTTTAAATTATATTAACCATGCTCAGTCGATTTAGGAAGCTTCTGGGATCCTCTCAGACGTATGTTCGAACCCTCGTCACGGCTCTGTGGACTTGTTCAAGACACCTAGTATTGTTACGAATGGATATCAATTTACTTGAATGTGTCCTGCGTAGGATGACAAAGTTAACTCCCCCGTCCAATTAGAAACCTGTCATATGAAGAGAGATTAACAAAGCTTAAATTGCATTCACTGGAAAGGCGAAGAGTTGAAAGAGGTTACCAAGTGGATGAATGGACATAACAAAGGGGATGTTATTAGGGTATTAAAAGTATCAACACAAGACAGAACACGAAAAAATGTGTATAAATTGGATAAATTTAGATTTAGAAAAGACATGGGTAAATACTGGTTCAGTAACAGAGTTGTTGATTTGTGGAACCAATTACTACGTTTTATAGGTGGAGGTGGGGTCTCTTGATTGTTTCAAGCGTGGGTTGGACATGTATGAATGGAATTTGGTGGTTATAAATAGGAGCTTCCTCGTATGGGCCTTATAGGCTCTCTGTAGTCATCTTTATTCTTATGTTCTTAAATGTGGTGGGAAGATGGAAGGACAATTAAACATTCGGCACAATGCAGATTTATTTATTTTTATAGATGAGCTATTACTGCTCGCCACGACATGAATTTTTTGGCTGACAAATAAAAAACACAACAGAAAAGACTTTGCGCTGACAGAAAAAAAGAAGAACTTGATAGTATGTTTGATATCAATAAAACAGTAACACGCTTGTGTTTTTTATTATTTGTTTAATTTAACCTTGATTTTTTCAAGGTTTAGTTGATGAACTACCCTTATGAACTACCATGTGAGTAGTCACATTCTTACGCCACTTGAATGTTTTCCCACACTCTGAACATTCGTAAGGTCTCTCGTTCGAATGCACTGGAATGTGATCTATTATTTCCCTGCGATTCCTAAATCTTCTCCCACACTCATTACATTCGAAAGGCATATTACTTCTCTTTATAGATTGGCTGAATATTTTCCCACACTCTGGCACCTCTCGAGATGTAAGCCCTTTAAGCTCAGTCCTGCGAGTCTTCATGCGTCCAGCCCGACTGGATGTTTTCCCACGGACTATATGATCTGTATGCTCCTGAGATGTATGATCTGTATGCTCCTGAGATGTATGATCTGTATGCTCCTGAGATGTATGATCTGTATGCTTCTGAGATGTATGATCTGTATGCTCCTGAGATGTATGATATGTACGCACAGTCAAGCGAGTCTTCATCCGTTCAGCCCGGCTGGATGTCTTCCCAGGCACTGGACGCCCGTGAATCCTCATCCTGTGAGTTTTCATATTTCCAAGTTGAGTAAAAGCTTTCCCACATTCTGGACACGCGTGAGGTTTAATACCTGCATGCAGCAGTCTGTGAGCCTTCATATTTCCATACTGAGTAAATGTTTTCCCACATTCTGGACACTTGTGACGATTATCGAGACTCCCTTCTCCCCAATGCGCCACCACATGAACCTTCATCTCTCCAAGTGTCCTGAATGTTTCCCCACACTCTGGACACTTGTGAGATTTAGCATCCGTATGAACCATCATGTGAGTGTTCATATCTTTAATATCACTAAATACTTTCCCACACTCTGGGCATGGTTGAGTTTTATATCCAATGCATATCGGCTTATGTCTATTTACACTTTCAAGCCGAGTAAATATTTTCCCACACTCTGTACATTCATGTGATCTCTCGCCGGCATGCACCTTCATGTGCTTCATCATATGTGAATAACATCTAAATGTGTTCGCACACTCAGGACACTGGCGAGGCTTCATTCTTATGATGAGTACAGTTAATTTGAAGGATATCTCCTGATAATGAGTGCAGAAGTTGCCTTGTGCCGTGGGGTGTCTCCAGGAGACTCAACACTGCTGCTGGTAAGGAGTCTCGTTGGACCTGTACGAGATCCAAAAAGACTTTGAACAAATCTCGAAATGGTAGTGGGAGGATGGTGTGTACTGCGCCTCTTCTGGAAGATACGTGCAGTTTGTGTTCTTTTCTGGGCGACATGACTTATGTACTCAACAACAACATTCAGGCCATCTTAGGTGAGGTGAACGGGAAGCGTGAGGTGTAACATTTGAATGAGGCTCATTGGAACATAATAACACTTGTGTTAATAATAATAATAAACATAATATAATTATGAACAGTAATAATTATTATTATAGTTTATATTATGAACATAATAACATAAGAAGTAAGGTAACTGCAGAAGTCCTATCGGCAAATAAGAACATAATAACATTAGAACAAAGGTAACTGCAGAAGGCCTATTGGCCCATACGAGGACACTCCTATCTATAACCACCCAATCCCACTCATAAACATGTCCAACCCACGCTTGAAACAATTGAACGACCCAACCTCTACCACGTTACGCGGTAATTGGTTCCACAAATCAACAGCCCTGTCACGGAACCAGTATTTTCTCAAGTCTTTCCGAAATCTAAACCAATTGATACCCATTGTTTCGTGTTCTGTCTCGTGTTGATACTTTTAATACTCTAATAATATCCTCTTAATTTTTAAAGAACATAAGAACAAACATAAAAACATAAGAACAATAGAACAAAGGCAACTGCAGAAAACCTATTGGCCCATACGAGGCAGCTCCTATCTATAACCACCCAATCCCTCTTAAATACATGTCCAACTCGCGCTTGAAACAATCAAGGGACCCCACCTCCAGCACGTTATGCGGTAATTGGTTCCACAAATCAACAACCCTGTTACTGAACCAGTATTTAACCAAGTCTTTCCTAAATCTAAACTTATCCAATTTATACCCATTGTTTCGTGTTCTGTCTTGTGTTGATACTTTTAATACCCTATTAATATCCCCTTTGTTATGTCCATTCACCCAATTGTAAACCTCTATCATGTCACCCCTAACTCTTCGTCTTTCCAGTGAATTCAATTTAAGCTTTATTAATCTTTCTTCATATGAAAGACTTCTAATTTGGGGAATTAACTTTGTCATCCTACGCTGGACACGTTCAAGTGAATTTATATCCATTCTACCCATGGATATAATAAATATATCTGATATATAACATAAGAACATAAGAACAAAGGTAACTGCAGAAGGCCTATTGGCCCATACGAGGCAGCTCTTATTTATAACCACCCAAATACTTGTCCAACCCGCGCTTGAAACAATCAAGGGACCCCACCTCCAGCACGTTACGCGGTAATTGGTTCCACAAATCAACAACCCTGTTACTGAACCAGTATTTAACCAAGTCTTTCCTAAATCTAAACTTATCCAATTTATACCCATTGTTTCGTGTTCTGTCTTGTGTTGATACTTTTAATACCCTATTAATATCCCCTTTGTTATGTCCATTCACCCACTTGTAAACCTCTATCATGTCACCCCTAACTCTTCGCCTTTCAGGTGAATGCAACTTAAGTTTTGTTAATCTTTCTTCATATGAAAGATTTCTAATTTGGGGAATTAACTTAGTCATCCTATGCTGGACACGTTCAAGTGAATTTATATCCATTCTATAATATGGCGACCAAAACTGAACTGCAAAATCTAAATGGGGCCTAACTAGAGCAAGATATAGCTTGAGAACCACACCAGGTGTCTTGTTACTAACGCTGCGATTAATAAATCCAAGTGTCCGATTTGCCTTATTACGAACATTTATGCATTGATCCTTTTGTTTTAAATTCTTACTAATCATAACTCCCAGATCCCTTTCGCAATCCGACTTCGCAATCTCAACACCATCGAGCTCGTATCTTGTAACCCTATCATCATTACCTAACCTCAGAACATTACATTTATCAGCATTAAACTGCATCTTCCAATCCTTCGACCATTTCAAAACCCTATCTATATCAACTTTAAGTGATAGTGAGTCTTCCTCCGAATTAATTTCCCTACCGATTTTCGTATCATCGGCAAATTTGCAAATGTTGCTACTCAAACCTGAATCTAAATCATTTATATATATTATAAACAACAGAGGTCCCAGGACAGAGCCCTGAGGCACCCCACTTACAACATTTTCCCACTCTGACTTGACTCCATTTATACTAACTCTCTGTTTCCTTTGGTATAGCCATGCCCTAATCCAGCTTAATATAGCACCCCCAATACCATGAGACTCTAACTTTTTAATCAGTCTTTCATGTGGCACTGTATCAAAAGCTTTGCTAAAGTCAAGGTACACAACATCACAATCCTTACCACTATCAACTGCCTCAACAATGCTAGAGTAAAAAGATAACAAATTTGTTAAACATGAACGGCCATTTATAAAACCATGTTGCGACTCAATTATTAATTTATGTTTTTCAAGATGAAGACGAATTTTATTTGCTATTATAGATTCGAGTAACTTTCCCACAATAGACGTTAGGCTAATTGGTCGATAGTTAGACGCAAGTAATCTATCTCCTTTCTTAAAAACTGGTATCACATTAGCAACTTTCCAAAACTCTGGCACTCTGCCTTACTCTATTGATTTATTAAATATGGTTGACAGTGGGTCACAAAGCTCCTCTTTGCATTCTTTAAGCACCCTGGCAAACACTTCATCCAGCCCTGGGGATTTGTTTGGTTTGAGTTTTACTATTTGTTTAAGAACATCCTCCCTGGTAACTGCTAAACTCGTCAACCTGTCCTCGTCCCCACCCACATAGACTTGTTCGGCTGAAGGCATATTGTTAAGTTCCTCTTTAGTAAATACAGATACAAAATATTTATTAAAAATACTACTCATCTCTTCATCACTATCTGTTATTTGACCTGTCTCAGTTTTTAATGGACCTATCCTTTCCCTAGTCTTAGTACGATATAACTGAAAAAACCCTTTAGGATTTGTCTTTGCTTGCCCTGCTATGCGAACTTCATAGTTTCTTTTTGCTTTCCTTATCTCTTTTTTAACATTTCTAACCAGTTGTACGAATTCCTGTTCTAAACTGACCTCCCCATTTTTAATCCTTTTGTACCAAGCTCTCTTTTTACCTATAAGGTTCTTCAAATTCTTTGTTATCCACTTTGAGTCATTAGTATTCGATCTATTCAATTTGTATGGTATACTACGTTCCTGTGCTTTGTTTAGAATATTCTTAAATAAGTTATATATTGAACCCACATCGAAATCCCCATTTACGTCACCTATCGCTGGGTTCATGTCTCGCTCCAAGACCGGCCCCCACCCCATACCCAAGACTTTCCAATCAATTTGACCCAAAAAATTTCTAAGGCTATTAAAATCAGCTTTTCGAAAATCTGGCACTTTAACAGAATTTTCTCCTACAGGTCTATTCCATTCTATGCTAAATCTGATTTCTTTGTGATCACTGTTCCCTAGCTCACTCCCTATTTCGATGTCATTAATTTGTGTTTCCCTGTTAGTTAACACTAAATCTAAAATATTATTTTCCCGTGTTGGTTCCTTAATGTGTTGCGTAAGAAAGCAATCGTCAATTAATTCTAGAAAATCTTCTGCTTCACTATTCCCTGTTTTGTTCAACCAGTTTATTCCACTAAAATTAAAGTCACCCATGACGTAAATACTGTTAGATCTAGATGCCCTAGATATTTCATCCCATAGATGCTTTGCTTCCATTCTGTCTAAATTTGGTGGCCTATATATAACTCCTATTATCATATTATTTGCTTTTTCGTATAATTCTATCCAAATAGTTTCTGTGTGTGGCTCAGTTTTGATTCCCTCTTTGAGACTACATTTCAAATTGTCCCTAACATATATGGCTACTCCCCCTCCTCGTCTAATATATCTATCTGTGTGAAATAGTTTAAATCCATTTATTTGATATTCAGCTAATAGTTCTCTATTTTCTACATTCATCCACGTTTCGGTAAGTGCAATAATATCTATTTTTTCTGTGCAGACAAGAGCATTTAATTCGTTAATTTTATTTCTTAGACTTCTACTGTTAGTGTAATATACCCTAAGTGAATTGTTATTTTGAGGCCCTTCTCTTTCCCTGATCATTTTGCCAATTCCTTTCTCCCACAAACACATACTTTTATTATCTCCTTCCTCCAAATCAATTCCCATACCTCTATCTACTAACAGTTTAAACCCAAACAAACACCTCTAACCACTTCTTCCAACGAGTTCGCAACAGCAACAACCCCAGCTCTCGATAGATGCACCCCATCACGAGCATACATTTCATTTCTTCCATAGAAGTGTTCCCAGTTGTCTATGAAAGATATTGCATTTGATTTGCAATATCTTTCCAGCCGGCAATTGACACCAAGTGCCCTCGACATCCATTCATTTCCCACTCCCTTTCTTGGAAGAATGCCACATATGATCGGGATTCCTCCCTTGCTCCTAACTAATTCAATGGCTGTCCTGAATCTCTGTATTAGTTCCTCACTCCTAACTCGTCCAACATCATTACCCCCTGCACTAATACAAATAATGGGTTTGTTCCCATTTCCTGTCATAATATCATTCATGTTTCCAACAATATCACCAATTCCAGCTCCCGGATAGCAAACCCTTAATCTGTTCCCCCTATCTCTGGCACAAAACGTTCTGTCTAAATACCTCACCTGGGAATCTCCCACAACCAAAATTCGCTTCGATTCTCCCTTTTCCTTTCGAGCAGTTTGAGGGACCTGCGCTTTAATGCTCCTCGTTACTTTGTCTTTGCCACCTCGTTGAACAACAGGTTCAACACAGCACTCGTCCTCTAATACGTCAAATGCGTTAAAAGTCCTTAGGTGTAGGCTATTAGTTGTCGGTTTTGCCAAGGTCTTCTTAAGACCCCTGTC